TGTTTGAGCCCAAAATTTCTACACTCGCCATAGTACAACCCATTTTCCAATAAAACTCTTGGTTCCAAGACCCGTTTCCTTTTCCAAAAATATCGTGTTTCGTGTGGTTTGCGGGACTATTTATTAATGAACGAAAACGAAAAACGAGAAAATGCAAAAATTGTGGGTTGCCTCCCACAAATCGCTCAATTTAATGTCTTGAGCTCGACATTCCCAACGAAAATCAACCAGGATCTAAGAAAAAATACCGATCATGCCACGCCTTTGTATTGTCCAATAGTTGACGAGTCGGTAGCACCGAACAAAGACATGCCAAATAAACTCTCGTGGCCGAATTCTTGTGAAACTGAGCACGGATATCAACAACCACTCAACAACCACTAATAGGAGAAATGAATATTTACGAACCGAGGCCCCATACCGAGGCCCCATACTCGACCTCCGAAAATATAAAAATATTCGTGGAGCACATCGAGTCAATCTCGGGCATCGTTTGCACTATCCCGAATGAGTACTCATCAAGCTCAAGCATCGAGAGCACGGGCATAGGCACACTAAACTCCTCCAAATGGTCACGATCCTCAATAATACGAAACGACGACCCAAAGGACATGAGAACCACATCATACTCAACATCACAAGTCGGCTCATCAATCAATGCACACCTCGGGTCAACGACATCACATAATAGCTCGGAATCCTCCTCATCAACATCCACAAAATCATCTACTACCACATTCTTCTCCTCAATATCATCCTCCCGAGCACTATCAACACCGTTCGGCACAATCGAATCCTCAAATGAATTCTCTCCCATCCCATATACTATATCAACACCCGATTCTACATGCTCACTCTCAACAATATAATTCGAACTCAAAGCACAATCACCGGGAGAAAGAGTTGACGTACCTACCTAGAGTGGATGGCACGGCCGAATCATCAAGTGAGGATATTTCCTTAACAAGCAAATCGTCGATGTCCTCACTCGTGTCGAGAGGTTGAGTTCCGTCGTATACGGGAGTGAGTCCCATCTCTTTCAAGGAGGCAAACCAATCCACCGTAGCTCGAAATTTGCCTTCTAACCGAGTGCTCTCTCGAATAACCCTCACTGATAGAGAACAATATCTACCAAGCGGAATGTGAGATGCGTCCAAATCAAGGAAAGAGACCACGGTAGAGTCGAACTTCGTGAGTGTGATTTGAAGAACGGATGGAATGGGGATACTCTTCCAACTATGAAACTCCTCAATGATCGACATAAGACTTGCAAGTGCCTCTTGAGTGCCCGCCAAACCTCTTGGTGATGCTCGGTAGGCTCAATCGTTGTTGAAATTGAAGCTTCGGAACTTGAGGTACAAGGTTGGCCAACCGATAGGTGCTCCAATGATAGAGAGGATGTAGCAAGGGACTCGGTTTCTTCTTTTTCGGATATGGGAGCCATAGAAGCGCGAAGAGATCGATTGCACTCCTCTAAATGCTCCATGATCTCGGCTAGATTAACTCGAGAAACCTATCGAGTCGCTCGGGTGGAGGTGTCGCATCACAAAAATCGAGAGGCGGGGGATGGTAGTGAGGTGTCTCGTCATGACCCGGAGAGTAATAACCAAAATCAACGTGAGAAGGCGGGTAAGAAGGGCTCGGATATGGATAGGGCGGCCCTCCATACAAGTATATCTCCTCATGGTAGTTGTCGGGGTATCCACGAGATGAGCTACCGGCATAAGAATAGTCATACGGATCCATCG